GGGTTGTGCGGGGAGCGGGGAGGAAGACTTGAGAGCCTAGACTGGCCTTGTTCTCGCCAGCTCTCCTCCAGCGTCTCTCCGCTTCTCTAGCACGGAGCAGAAGGAGGAACAGCCTTTCAAACAAGGCTGTCAATGGCAAGGGCTATTTTTCATTTTGCCTCCTACTTCTAAGTCTTGGCAGAGCTGAAACATATTTAGGTTTAAAAAAAGGGTCTTGCTTTCTGCAGATTTATTTCCCCCCACACGCCTTTTCATCTTTTAAAAAAAAAATTTTTTTTATGGTGGGTGACTCAGAATGGTTGGAAGAACATGAGAAAACACCCAATCCGGGCCCTTTTTTCCTTGATGTGCTTAAGCTGGGCCTGGGCCCCCTGGCCTCAGCAGTCCACACAGAGGACACTGGGTGACTTCATGGGTTTAATTTGTCTAATAGCTCAGGGTTTATGGAAAATATGAGAGGAGTTATCCTGGTATGCAGATCCTTAGGCTACCTGCTGGAGGGAGGCCTGGACAAAGAGTCTCACTGCGGAAGATAATTTTACCCACTAGCCTCAAAGTCAATGCATTCCCAGGGACGTTGTTGTTCTCCCTGTGGACATATTCCCTAGTCCTCGTGTCTGTTCCTCGAAAAAGCAAGGAGCAACAGTTGAAGAGAAGAGCATCTCGATATTCCTCAAGCCACTCCCTCACTTGTCTTACCCCTTTCCTGGCTTCTGTCTGCCTTCCCCTTGTGAACAGAGGAGGCCATATGCCATTAGCCACGTATTAGGAGAAACCAAATTTAAGGCCATGAGAAATACCCTTTGACCTTATCATATGCTATATGTCTGTAACTATCTAGCCATTGAATAGCACTAACTTCTAAAACTCCTGCTTAACTGGGATCGCTAGAGGAAAAGACGATGAATAGGACACATTCAGCCATCAAATGTTTCCTGGCATTTGGGAGAGTTGGTTATGTAAATGTAAATTATCATGGGCACCCACAGTTTTGGAACTGTGAATTAAATGCATTAGAGCACCCAGAGGAAATGGATACCTCAGCCAAGGAGGCAGAGTGAATGTGTGCCACTGGCATTTTTATTCAACAGGCCAGCCTTCTCCCAATTCCTTGTTTACAATATCAAGGTCATTTGATGTCTAATCTTGGACACCAAGGTACTGGAGAGTAGTAGGTTAAGTCCATGTATGCATGTCCACCAAGATGCACAGAAGCACACTTCTAGAAGAGGCAAAACTGTACGTCTTCACTGTGGACATCGTTATCACACTGTCTGTCCACAGGCACGCTCAGAATGACATTGCCCTCCGCATGCTTCCTGCATCCATGCTTTGCCGGAAAAGGAAAAACAATGACCCAACCCTTGTCTTTTGATATATCAAACCAAGCGGCCTCAACGTGGAAACATAAATAAATCAACTGTAAAAGGCGACAATACAATGATTCTTCTTTTCCCATGTTTTATGATATCTTTGAGATATGATGGTCACGTTCCTTAAAAAGACCTAGATGGGGGAGAAGGAGGGGAAAAGGGGAACTGATCCCAATAATCGATGTATAACAGCCCCCATCCCCCAAGGGGGATGAACAACAGAAATGAGGGTGAAGGGAGACAGTGGACAGTATAAGATATAAAAATAATAATAATCCACAATTTATCAAGGGTTCACGAGGAGGGGAGGGAAGGAGATGGAGGGGAAAAAAGAGGAGCTGATACC